AAATGAGAACATTCCCAAATACAAGTGCACAGTGCATACAATCACAGGCATGTAATACGACCCAAAGATAGAAGACACTCCTCAGATGTCACCCAGCAGACCACAGAAGCTATGAAAAGAAGTACTGTGCTGGGCATAGTGTCACAGCTTGTACTCCCAGCACTCTAGCAAAAAGATTACAAGTTCAAGCCCAGCCCGGGCAATTTAGTGATTTAGCAAGACTGTCTCAGAAAAAAGGTGGAGTTTCCTGCAGATGTAGCACACTGCGAAGGCCTTGAGTTCAATCTCAGTCCTGAAAGGAAAAAAAAAAAGGAAAGAAAAGAGTGATGCATTGTGACAATCCTCACACAGTCACACAACCGACACGAAGACACAACACACCCAAACCAGACAATGACACACCCAGGAGCTCCCTGAGTCCCTCCTGTTCCCCTGGGCTGACCCTCAAGGAAACAGCAGGTTTAGGATGGGAAGGGACCCCCTACTTGTCAGCTCAGCCCGACCGGTTCCACCAGGGCCACAGATGGCACAACCTGCTTTGTGAAACCCGTGTTGGGCAACTAGGTCCACACTTGGATTCCTGGGTTCTGCGGCTGGCAGCCTGGACTCCTGTGTGCTGAGGGAGCAGGGGAATGGGTGCCTGGCTCTTTCTCAGGCAAATGAAGAAGGGAACCCAGCCCTGGACTCTCCAGTTCAGAGGCAAGAGAAGTAGCGGCCTGGACTAGGCAGGATTTCAGGCTTGGCAAAGAAAAATAAAAGTCCACCTGGGTGTGATGATGCAAGCCTGTAATCCCAACTATTCTGGAGGCTGAGGCAGGAGGATTGCAAGTTTGAGACCAGCCTGGGCAACTTACCAAGATCCTGTTTTAAAAAAAAAAAAAAAAATTATTTTTTTAAGCTAAGAATATAGCTCAGTGGTGCAAGGCCCAGCACCTAAAAGTTAAAAAAATAAATAAATAAAAGAGCAAGTCCAGTTCAATATGAATTTCAGATAAACAAATAATTTTTAGTATAAGTATAGCACATGGAACATACTAACACTAAAAAGTATTCATCATGTATCTGAAGTTCCTATTGAGGGGCCGGGGATATAGCTCAGTGGCACAAGCACCTGCCTGGCAAGCACCAGGTCCTGAGTTTGATTCCTAGTACCAGAAAGAAAGAAAAGAAAAGAAAAGAAAGAAAAGAAAAGAAAAGAAAAGAAAAGAAAGAAAAGAAAAGAAAAGAAAAGAAAAGAAAAGAAAAGAAAAGAAAAGAAAAGAAAAAAGAAAAAAGAAAGAAAGAAAGAAGCCGGGCATGGTAGTGCATGCCTGTAATCCCAGTACTCGGGAGGCTGAGACAGGAGGATTGTTGTGAGTTTAAGACCAGCCTGGGCTATAAAATGAGCTCAAGGCCAGCCTGAACTACATAGCAAGACCCTGTCTCAAAAAGACCAAAAAAAAAAAGGAGAGAGAGAAAGAAAGAAAGAAGAAAGAAAGAAATTCCTATTGACCTAGGCATCCTGTGTATATGGAATAAGCCCTTAAGAGGAGGACACAGGCCAAGTGGCTATTAGCTTGGGCCACAGGCAAACCTCCACCTCCTAGGCTCCCCTCTTGCTGCTCTAAGCTTTCCTCATGCCCCAGCAGGCCACCTCACAGCTCCCCAGTTCTGGCTCCCTCATCTACATGAGTTGTGTCTAATTGGGGCCTCCAGAATGTATCAGAAGAGGAAACTTGAAGACAACTCAGACTGTCATCTTGGGAACCCCGGGGTCCCCAGAATGACTGGCCTTGAATCACCTGCAGCCCACAATCTGACCAGCTGGCAGGGAGGGCCCGTGGCTGCCTCTGTGGAACATGCCCAGCGAGGGGCAGACATGGGGAGAGATGAGGAGATACCTCTGGACAGCAGACAGAGTCCCCAGGATAAGGGCACAGAGACACAGAGCGGAGAGAAACTAAGAGGTGGGTGCCAGAGATGCAAAGACTTAGAGGCAGATTTGCAGAGATGAGGAAAGAAGGAGATTTAGAATTAGAGATGAAGATACAGAGATGGGAAGACAGGCACACAAGAACAAAGGGAGGAGACGCCCTACGGACATGCAGCTCCCAGACCAAGTGACAGACCTGGTCTGGGGACAAGGACAGCCAGCCATCAGGCTGGTCCCTGGAGAGGAAGCTTTGGGTCCTGGTGTGTGGGGTGTGGGGAACGCTGCGCTCACAAGCCAGCGGGTGATCCACCTGCCATCGCCCCACATCGCTATAGTGTGGGATGATGACAGGACCTTCTCTGCGGCTGACGCCCTAACTTTCTGGTGCCTCCTACATTTTTGGGGTAACACCCGCACTGGGAACCCCACCCAGCTCTAACCCTGCTTCCCTCATTGAGTCACCTCCAACCCTGTCAAGCCTGTTGAGGGGAGACTTCAACAACACAGGAATCCAGCCTTCACCTCTGGAGCCCAGCAGTTTGGAACCCAGGACCCCTACCTACCCAGGAATATGCAGGGGAGTTTAAGGAGATGGCCATGGATCCAGGCCCAATGCCCTCCTTCAAACTGAGGGGGCTACACCCCAGTTCCCTCCTTCCTCAGGGGTCCCTCCTCTTTCAGCACCCCTCAGCCCCCCAGACCCAGGACCCAGGCCCAGACCCCCTCCCTCAGACGCAGGGCTCTTGTCTCCAGCCTCCTCCTTCCTCAGAACTAGGGGTCCCAGGCCCCAACCCCAGTGTTCTGCTCTATTAGGACTTCGGATGTGATGAGGGCTGCATCCATGCCCTTCAATTCCATTTCTGCTAGCAGCCTCCTCACCTTCCAGTTCGGAGTTGAGGTGTAGTGCGATTTTTTTTTTTTTTTTTGGTCTGTTTTTTTGAGGCAGGGTCTCACTATGCAGTTCAGGCTGGCCTTGTGCTCACTTTGTAGCCCAGGCTGGTCTTGAACTCAGGACGATCCTCCTGCCTCAGCCTCCCAAGTGCTGGGATTACAGGTGTGCGCCACCACGCCCAGCGCAGTGTGATAACTGACTTTGATCGGGGCAGAAGTCGCTTCCTAAAACAGTGCCTTGCTTCATCTCTTGGCCCTGCATGGGAGAACAATCTCCCCTCTTCTGGGGAAGTAACAGCTCATTAAGCCCCCTTCTCCCCAGGAGGTGGTGAGGTCACTAAGCACAAGGAGAGAGAGTCTTTAAGGAGAGCCCCCCCTGCACCCTGCACACCACCTGGCCTTTTCCTCTCTACCAACCCCTTCCCTCTGCCCTCCGCTCTACGCCCCTCCACCTGTGCGTCTCTGTGCCTCTCTTACCCGAACCCTAACTTTCCTTCTTGCTGTTTCTCCTGAGTCTTTACCCCTCTCTGCCCCAGCATCTTTCCCCCTCTTTCTGTCCCCCTGTCTCTCTCCAACTCACTGAGTCTTCTCTCTCCCTGCCTCCCGGATCACCATATCCCTGCATCTCTTTGGTCTCCCCACCCCCCTTCCCTCTCCCTGTCTCCGTCTGGGTCTCTGGGTCTCTGCAGGATGACCAGCTGCCCCACCCCTACTATTTCCTAGATCCTAGGAGGTGAGGCAGCAGGGGAAGTGGTTGGGGGTGGGGAATGGACAGGCAGGGCTGGAAATCCCAGCGAGGGGAAGAGGGTCAGCCAGACCGGCTCGGCTCCCTGGGCACCTCTGTCAGAGCCCCGCCCAGGCCTGTGTGGCACTACCCATATAAGAAGCGCCCGGCCTGGGCCAGAGAACTCAGTGCCTGTGTCATCTACACCTCTGTCTCCATCCTGCATCTCCAGCCTGAAGGTAAGAGTAGCCCTTCCCTCCCGCAGCCCTCTGCTCGCTGAGGCTGGGCACCTCGCCTCTGTTCTGCCGCCACCCCGCCCTGCTGCCATCTCCTTTCCTGCGTCCCTGTGATGTCTGTCTCTCTGGATGTCTGTCTTTCTCAGTGCCCCTTGAGCCTGCCTTCTCAATCTGCGTGGTTCTGGGTTGAGTCTGGACGCTCCCGGGCTCAGCATCCCCTCTTCCAGCCAGCTCGGTCCTGGCCATCAGAGTTGGGCATCTCCCTTCACCTCGCGGAGCCCGTGGTTCCCTCTGTGAAGTGGACTTGCAGAGCAGTCAGGGTGACTGCAAGGTGTGGGCGTTACCAGCAGTGATAGGGGCACCTGGCTCCGCTCTCTCCACCCCTTGTCTCTGCCTCTGTCGGACTGTCTCTGTCTCTCTGTGCAGCTGTCTGTGGTATGAGGCGGGTCCTCTGGGGTCTGTCGGGCAGCTGTAAAGACACGGGCGAGTTTCTCGCCCCCCACTTACCCATCCCTGATTCCATGTCTCTCCCAGCCAGCGGGCTGACTTGGCCTCTCTCTCCCCAGCTCCCTTCCCCCTGAGAGCCCACCCCCAGTGCCCCAGTCCCTTGCCCTCCCCTCCCCGGTACCCAGCATCACTTGGACAGACCTCACCGCTGTTGCCGCAGCCACCTCTGCGTCCATCCACACCGCCGCCTCCTCAAGGCCAGCAAAATGCAGTTTGAGATGCACGACAACGTGAAAGGCAAAGGTGGGGTCGCTGGATGGACCCGCAACCCTCTCAGTACCCGGAACCTGGCTGCCTCCCTTCCTGGGGCACCCTGGCTTCGAAGACAAATGGCAGCTGCTTCCACCCCAGAGGTCCCCTGAGATGCTGGAACCCAGACTCAGATGTGGTGGAGGAGGGGGCACGTCCAGGCGGTGCCCACCCTTCCTCAGAACTGCAGGACCCCCCACCCTATCCCACCCCATCTCAACCAAATGTAGAAGAGGCAGCAGGCAACAGGGACAGACTGGGGTGTGGATGCCCACGTGTGGCAGAAGGGACGGGAAGGTGCAGTGGTGTCCCCACCATGGGCGGCCTGCTGGCCCCGCCTAGACTGCCCGGCAGAGGGAAGGGAGGGGGGGGGGAGGGGGCCCAGGAGGTCCAGCAGGCCTGTCTGCTGACACCTCTCCCCCTCCGCAGCTATGTCCTACCCAGTGACCACGCAGCCCCAGTGTGCCAGCACCTGCTACCAGACCCAGCTCAGTGACTGGCACACGGGTCTCACTGACTGCTGCAATGACATGCCCGTCTGTGAGTGCCGGGGCGTGTCGGGGAGGCGGGAGGGCAGGGAGGCTCACCCCACCCGCCCGCCGCCCCTACTGGCCTCCCTCCCACTTCCGCTCTGTGCACTCCCTCCACCTTGCGAGGACCCCCACTCTCCAAGGGCCGCGACCTCAGCTTCCAGCTCTCGATTTCCCCGCTCGCCTCAACTGTCCTGGTGACGCCAGCTCCCTCTTCAAACGCTAGGCCGCCCCTCCTCGGTCCCCAGTCCCCTCTGGGACCTCTCTATTGCCTCCGACACTCAACTCCCTCCGGGACCCCCGCCACCTCCCCCACCCCACCCCCACCTCCGGGCTGAGCTGGCGCCCGCCGGCCTCGCCCCTGAGCTGTGGTCCTCCACCCGCCCAGGTCTGTGCGGCACTTTCGCTCCCCTGTGCCTCGCCTGCCGCATCTCCGACGACTTCGGCGAGTGCTGCTGCGCGCCCTACCTGCCCGGAGGCCTGCACTCCCTGCGCACTGGCATGCGCGAGCGCTACCACATCCAGGTGCGCGCCGGCCGGGAACGCGCGGAGCCGGGCGCCGGGGCCCCTCCTCCGGGGGCGCGGACAGCGCTCCTGACCTCTCTCTCCCACCCTCTAGGGCTCCGTCGGGCACGACTGGGCGACCCTCACCTTTTGTCTGCCCTGCGCCCTCTGTCAGATGGCGCGGGAACTGAAGATCCGAGGGTAACGCCGTTCCCGCCTTCCTCCTACTTCGCCGCTGCTCACACCCGGCATCCTCTGACCCCTTCGGGAAGAGTCTGCCCTGCCGCCCTTGTCCCACTGCCAAACATACACCCACAATAAAAACCTGAAAACCTACCCCGCCTACATCCCTTCTGTCCCGGGAAAGGAATCTGGGTGGAGAGGGAGGTTTGGTGATGGAGGTGGGGACAAAGGAGAGGTGCCCGAGGGTGGATGGAAAAGCCAGGCACTGGAGGAGGCTGGCTGTGGAATGACTCCGGCTTTGGCGAGTCTTCCCTCTGAGCCCCGGCGTCCTCACCTAACCGACTAAAACCACTGCACTTAGCTGCAGATCCCCTGTCTGAAATTTTGTGCACATCCTGAAAGTATGCAAAACCGGGAAGGGAGTCCTGTTACTATAGACAGGCAAGTTAGACAGAAGATAGCAGGCAGCTAGAGAGGCACTGGGTCCAAGACAGAGTCGGGATGACCAGGCCTTGGTCTAATAAGCAGGAGCCAGAGGTCAAGAGTTAACAAGAACCCAGCGGACAGTTAAGTCCAGGGATGTAACAAGCGAGGTATGGAGCAAGGTGATGAGGGAGGCCCACTGTGACAATTTCTGCTCCTACCTATCTGGAAAATGCTTTTTTTTCCTTCTCTCCTTTTTTGTTTTTGTTTTTGTTGTTGTTTTAGGACAGGATCTCACTATGTAGTTCAGGCTGGCCTTGAATTCGCCATGTAGCCCAAGCTGGCCTCAAACTTTTTTCTTTTTTTCTTTTTGAGACAGGGTCTCACTACGTGGTTCAGGCTGGTCTTGAGCTCACTTTGTACCCCAGGCTGGTCTCAACTCACAACGATCCTCCTGCCTCAGCCTCCCCAGTGCTGGGATTACAGGCCTGTACTACCACACCTAGCCTGGCCTCAAACTTTCATTGATCCTCCTGCCTCAGTCTCCTGTGTGCCAAGTTTCACTTTGTTTGCTTAATGAACCACTCAGGTAGGATAGAGGCTGTTATGGTTTGTGTCTGTCCCCCCAAAGCCTCATGCGGCCATGGGACAGGCTTTTAGAGTTTGATTGATTATGGGTGTGAGAGCTACACCCACCCTGGGGTGGATAGTTTGCATATGTGAGGGAGAGTAAGGCTGCTTGAGGCCATTTCCTGGCTTTTGTGCTTTTTGCTTAGCTGTGTTCTGCCACCCTGAGCTGTAACTCTCTGCCATGTGCCAGTCTGCCTTGTAATCTGCCAAGTATGGACTGAAACCTCCACAAACTGTAAGCAAAATAAACCTTTCCTTCCTTAATTTTGGGCGTCAGGTATTTTGTCCCAGCAATGAGAGAAAAGTAACCAAGACAGAGGCCAAGAGGTAACTGCAGACACACGCTTGCTGAGTGCCTCGACTTCTCATAGGCCCACTTCTAGTTTAAATAAGCTTGTTTTAGTCCTACAGGTTGACTTTAGTTTGACTTGCAGTGGTCTGAGCCCTGGTCATGCTTTTATATAAAAACTAGACAAACAGTGACCACGGCAACCCACTTTCAGATCCGCTCCCCACTACTGGGAACTATTCCTCTCTTCTTAATAAACATTCCTCCTGTCTACCTCCCTTGTCTTCTACACTATTCTTTGACTTCATGAGACACGGACCCAGGTTACACCATTTTGCTGGCAGAGTCCAGGCACTAACGTTCAAAGAAGGAAATTTTGGAATGCTCTCCCCTGCTCGTTCCTCACCTATGCACTTTTGGCCGTCACACGTCTAACAGGCTTGAGGCACTTTTGCCTCCAAAGCAAAGAACTGTCAAGCTCAAGGCTCTCTGGAGCTGAAATGAATTCTGAAGGGTTATCCAGTTCTATCAACCCTTTTTATGAGCTGAATATTAAGAACAGACATCTAAGGGGGCAGAGGTATAGCTCAGCAGCACACTGCTTGCCTGGCAAACACAAGGTCCTGAGTTCAATTCCCACTACCAAAAAAAAAAAAAAAGTAGACATCTATCTCAGGGCTAGTGGTATGGCCTACTGGTAAAGTGCTTGCCTAGCATGCCTTAGGTCCTGGGTTCAATCCCCAGAACTGCCATTAAAAAAAAAAAAAAAAATCAGTTGTATATCATCTGGCCACAAAACTCCACCTGTGAGAAACCAATCACCCATCTCCTGTATAAACCACTCCTAAATCAGCTTCCTGGCAAAGCAGTCCTTTAAGATGCTGCCCCTGCAGGTCCACTATCTTACCCACTACCTCATTGTAATAAAGTTCTATTTCTATCACCAACTTGCCTCTCTCGTGGATGTAGCTGGCACACTGGGGATTGAATTCAGGACCTTCTACTGAGCTATATCCCCAACGCTTTGTTTATTTTTTAGAGGCAGGGTCTCCCTGACTCACTAGGTTGCTAAGTTGCCCAGGCTTGGCTTGAATTTTTGCTCCTCTTGGCTCAGCCTGCCAGAGTGCTCTGGTTTCAGGCACGCAGCTCCACACCCAGCTCTGCCTTGCCTCTTGGCAAATTGGCTGCCACTGTGCTAGGCGGACCAAGCTTTTGCATGGTAACATTTACTCAAGAGCAACTGGCAGACTCGAGAGTATTCAGGTCTCAGAACTGGACAGACTTGGGCTCCAATCCGAAAACTTTGCCCCTTACCTTATCAATTCATAACCCTTTCTGAGTCTGTTTTTTTCTTCTGCAGGTAAGAATCCCCCATATGTCAAAAGGCTACTATGAGAACAGGCAGTGGGACAGATGAAAGCATGACCCAAAGAAATTGTTATTGCTAATATTATTGTTATGGTTGATACATTGTGTCAACTTGCAAAGTTTAGAAGATTAAGTGACTCAGCAGGGGGCCAGGGTCCTCACTTCGTAAACATCCTGAGCCTGAGCAAGAGGAGGGCGCAGAGATGGTGAGAGTGCTACACCCACACTAGCGGTGGTAGCCTACTTACAATATAAGGGAGGAGAAGAGGCTTCCCCTGCCTTTGTTTTTTTGGTTTTTCTCCGGTACCGGGAACTGAACTCACAACCTTGTGCTTGCCAGGCAGGCGCTTTGCCTCTGAGCTAAATCCCCAGCCCCTCCCCTGCCTTTTTTGCATTTGCTGCTTTTGCTGTCTTCTGCTGCCTTGAGCTGTTGCCCCTGTGCCCTGCCACCCTGCCTTGGAGCCAGCTGATTACCGACTGAAACTTCCACAAACTGTGAGCAAAGTAAACTTTTCCTCCCTTAATTTTGAGTGTGGGGTATTTTGTCCCAGCAACAAGAGAAAAATCACCAAGACAATTACTATTACATTATGTATAGAACTATCTCAATATTAATAAAACATTGATACTACTTGCTATGACCATCTCTGCTGTTGCATCCCACCACTGAAGAGCCTCCTCAAATGTAACGTGTCCCAAACGCAGCTCCTGACCCTCTACCCCTCCTTCCCCACATTCTTCCCACCTCAGGAAGTGGCAAGCTCCATCCTCCCATTGCTAAGTCACTACCTCCTTCACCCAGCACGGAGCTGCCAGCAAAGTGTGTTGGCTGTAGTTCCAGGACACATCCAGGATCCCACCACTGCTGCCCACCTTGCTGCCC